GACCACTCAATGACCACTGAATGACCACTTACTGACCACTCAATGACCACTCAACAATCGCTCAACGATCTCTCATTGACCGACGATCGCTCATTGACCACTGACCACTCAACGATCTCTCATTGACCAATCAACGCCCGCTCAACGTCCACTCGCCGACTGACCCCTGACCACTGAGTGACCGCCCCGTGACCCCCGCGTGACCTCACCTCCTTCTCCTTCTCCTCGGCCTCGCGCGTCTTGTAGCGCTTCTGCACCTCCTTGATGATGCGGAAGGCGTTCTGCAGGTTCGACGCCGGCACCGTCGACTCGCCCGGCGGCTTCAGGTTGGACGCGCGGTAGGTGCTGCGGGCAGAGTGACCGCCGGGTGACCACGCTGACCGCCGGCGGGGTCAGGGGTCGGGGCTCGGGGGGCACGCACATCTCCTTGACGAAGGTGGCCTCGGGGTTGGGGAAGATGTTGCCCTCGTTGCGGCCCAGGGCGCTGCCCGGGCAGAAGAAGTTGATGCGCAGGTAGGTGTAGTCGCCCTCCACGGACATGCTGATGTTCTGGGGGGAAAAACGGGGATTTTGGGTCAGCGGTGAAAAAAAATGGGAGTTTTGGGGTGAAAAACGGGGATTTTGGGAAAAAAATGGGGGATTTTGGGTCAGGGTTAGAATAAAAAATGGAGATTTGGGTCAGGAGGAACAGGTGTAGTCACCCTCCACGGACATGCTGATGTTCTGGGGGGAAAAACCGGGATTTTGGGTCAGCGGTGAAAAAAAATGGGGGTTTTGGGGAAAAAAATGCGATTTTGGATGATTATTTGGGGAAAAAATGGAGATTTGGGTCAGGAGAAACAGGTGTAGTCACCCTCCACAGACATGCTGATGTTCTGGGGGGAAAAACCGGGATTTTGGGGTGAAAAATGGGGATTTTGGGAAAAAACGGAGATTTGGGTGGAAAAAAGGTGATTTTGGGTCAGGGTTTGGGGTGAAAAATGGGGATTTGATGTGCAGGTTGGTGTAGTCGCCGTCCACGGACATGCTGATGTTCTGGGGGGAAAAACCGGGATTTTGGGTCAGCGGTGAAAAAAAATGGGGGTTTTGGGGGAAAAAACGGGGATTTTGGGAAAAAAATGGGGATTTTGGGTCAGGAGGAACAGGTGTAGTCGCCCTCCACGGACATGCTGATGTTCTGGGGGGAAAAACTGGGATTTTGGGTCAGCGGTGAAAAAAAATGGGGATTTTGGGGGAAAAAACGGGGATTTTGGGAAAAAAAAAGATTTTCCGGGGCAAAAAAGAGAAATTTAGGGGGAAAAACAGGGATTTGATGGTTAGATAGCTGTTGTTGCCCTCATGCTGATGTTCTGGGGGAAAAAAGGAGATTTTGAGTCAGGGTTTGGGGTGAAAAATGGGAATTTTGGGAAAAAAAGAGGATTTGGGTGGAAAAACAGGGATTTGATGTGTAGGTTGGTGTAGCTGCTCTCATGCTGATGTTCTGGGGGGAAAAACGGAGATTTTGGGTCAGGGTTTGGGGTGAAAAACGAGGATTTGGGGGGAAAATGGAAATTTGGGGGGAAAAATGGAGATTTGAGGGGAGAAAATGGAGATTTGGGTGAAAAAAACGTGGTTTTGGGTCAGGGTTTGTGTTTTCCCTCCTGACTCACCCACTTCCCACCCCCCTTTCCCCATTTCCCCCCTCTCCATTTTTGGGTGAAATTCTGTGGATTTTGGCATTTTTTGAACACTTTTTAACATTAATGGGGTCAATTTTGGTGCTTTTTGTGTCAATTCTGTGTTTTCCCAGCTACCTCACCCACTTCCCACCCCCATTTCCCTATTTTTCCCCCATTTTCCCCCGCCCCACTCCCGTCTCACCCCAGCTCCATTTTTGAGGAAAATACTGGCGATTTTGGGGTTTTTTTGAGCACTATTGGCAATTTTAGGGTCAATTTTCACGGGTTTTCTGTCAGTTTTGGGGGGTTTTGTGTCCATTTCGTGTTTTCCCTCCTGACTCACCCACCTCC